GCTAGTATAGATGTTGTATAGCATCGGGGAGAGTACCGCTCCTTGCGGCACTCCAGCTTCTGTGCTTCTATCTTCTGACCTGCAGTTCTGAACTTTGACGTTGAATGTCCTTCTGCAAATATAGCTGTCGATTAATTGGCACATTTTCTCACTAATACCTGTTTTCATCATTTTATAGATGAGTCCCGTTCCCCACACTCTGTCGAAAGCTCTTTCGACGTCCAGAGCTAGGATGCCGGTTGTCCCTTGTTGTTTACGAAACTGCTTCTGCTTTCGGCACTGCTTCTAGATTGAAAAGTTATCTTTAGCCGTTTTTTCCAAGGCATTTGGTCGAGTCGATCGGTACACATTGATTTACGCAGGAAGTTTTCTTGACGATCTTATCGGAATCTGAAAATTAAATGAATGTGTAAATACTCAAAACCTTAATGGTAATAAATAAATGAAGGAAGTTTAAGAAAACCCGATTATTTTCTCGAATTTATTCATTTTGTGTGTATCAACGTTGAAATGAAGCTCTCTTAATTTGTCGCCCTGTTGTTGATGTTCGCGATTTGTCTCGCGTTGGTCTTGACTTAGTGCCCTTATGTGTCAGCTGTCGACCACCTTACAGAACTCTTCCTCAGACTCAGTTTTCTTTCATTACCTTAGTAATTTTAATGGAGCCCTTAGGCTACATAAAATCGTCCGTTTTTCAAAACTTGAATTTTTATGAATTTACAGCAATTCTAAAATAAACATAAGAGCCAATAGGTATATTTATAATATTTCTTTAAACATTACAACACATTGTTAACAAAAATAAATTAATAAACGCACAAAAAATAAATAAGTTTTATAACTATTGCTCTCATATATTGCTAATAAAAATTTTAATACTAATATCACGAACTAAACACTTTTCTTTCTTTTAAATAAAAATATCTCCTCAGTCTTGCAAATTATCTTTATATAAGGTTTTATCATTCATAGATGAGACAAGCTTATCTTCAATTTAAAAAAATGGACAATTGTCGCTACCAATATATCTCTTGTGATCCAAAGATGAAATTGTATTAGTTTTTAACTAACTTCTCAACTTAGTTGTCATTAGATTAACCTGTGATAATATCCGTTCTACATTGGCTGATGAGTGAAGCAGAATAAGCAAGTTACAAATAAAATTCGTTAGAATTGTAAACATGCATAATCTCCATATTTCAATATTTCTACTTGGCTCCAAAAATCTTCAATGATTTCAGAAAATTTTTGATTTTCTTCGACTTTTCGCACCAGATGCCATTATGTAATTGACCCCCTTGTTATTCACTATTATTTATTAAATTTGGAAATATCATTGCAACATCGAAAATAGATTGTAGGGAACCTGATTTCACTATTGCTATAGTGATGCACTCAGATTTTTAGTGGGTACCGCTTTATTATTTGTGAAAATCCTTCGATTTAAAAATCTAAACACCTTAATTTAAAAAGAGTTAGTTGCTCTTGAAATAATACGGATTCTAAAACTGTTGAACACCTATTGTTCTTGTTCTAAAGCACCGAAACAGATGTCAGAAACGGGTAAGAAATTATTAGGATTTTTAAAGTCAATATTGGAAATTAGAACAGAAAATAAGTAATTCGATTTACAAAAAATGAAATAGATTTATCAGTATGTTGCAGATGTTTTTATGCTCTAAGTGAATTGGAGTTTGGAGATTCTGATTGCATTTCTCTATTTAAATTATTGAAAAAAGTTAAAATGTAATCTAAGAATTGCAGGAAAAATTTGGTAGTAGAATCATTTAAACGGCTTAAAACATTTTCTGCTGCCAATATATCATTACGGTCTACAGCGTCTACAAAAAATGACTTTAGATCATTATATTGTTCTAATATTCTTGCAACTGCAGCATGAACCGATAGCCATCTGGTTTGGAAAGGACGCAAAATTTTATGTATTTTAATTTTGCAAAGATTTTGAAATTTAGCAAATTCCAAAACTCTTTTTGGACTTGATTCAAAATAATTATAAATATCACAGGTAACATCTTCTACATAACGTAGTAATTTCTGACACGCATAAGAAGCACACAAATGCACTTTAGAACAAATGAAAGAGGTACATTCTTCGTTAATAGTGTCATCAGCGACTTACGGGCCCGCATCATTACATTTGCTCCATCTGAAGGAAACCCTTAAAGTTAAAGCTTATCCTTAAATGGTATGTTATTGTTTTGAAAAATCTAAAAAATATGCCTGTGCAGAGTAATTGCATCTGCTTCACAAATTTTAATTAAAGCTAGCAAAGAGTCACATATTTTATTATCACTTATGTATCCTTGCTTCCAGACAAAGGTGGTTACTTGTACTTAAATCTGTAGATTCGTCTACTATTAAAGAAAACTTAGATTTACGCAACTCCGAGCATGAATCCTCAAAACTGTGTTGTCCAAGAACATTTTTGACAATGGCAGTCGTTTTAGTCCGGCCACATGTCCATCCTTCCAATCTTGGAATCTGGACAAACTTTAGTGATCACTTTTACTAGGTGATACATTACTAAAAAAAGATAAATTATGTCCCTCTATAAAGACGCTCAGGCGGATTTCAGCTAAAAGAGTTTT